ACAGAAGACTGATCATGTGTTGGTTTGTGTTCTGCAGCGTCTGCGACAGGATGGGCAGAGGAAGCTCCTCCTCAGGCCAAAAGGCCTCATCTGTCTGCAGAGACCTCAGCCGGTGACGGAGGACTCATTTATTTCATTAATTAATTCTTAGTTCTTTTTGAATTCTTTACTTAGTTCTTTTTTTAAATTCTTTTTTAGTTGTTTTGTTCATTATTTACTTTGTTCTTTACGTAATTATTTACTTAAGTCTTTTGTTAATTATTTAATTAGTTCATTTGTTTATTCTTTACTTCGTTCTTTTTTAATTCTTTTTTACTTCTTTTATTCATTATTTGCTTTGTTCTTTTATTAATTATTTACTTAGTTCTTTTTTAATTCTTTTATTAATTATTTACTTAATTATTTTGTTAATTATTAAATTAGTTATTTTGTCAATTATTTACTTTGTTCTTTTTTTTAATTCTTCATTTAGTTCATTAGGTAATTATTTAGTTAGCGTTAGGGTTAGGGCAAATATATCATTATATAAATGTTTTGAGGGAAGTTCCTCCTCTTTCTAATTGGACTGGAGTACCATATGTGGTTGCCTAGGGCAGAGGAACCGTGAGAGAATTTTCCCATCTACATTATTTGATGAAACCTTCAGGTATGAGGGCTGCTCGATGGGTTTTTCGCTCTCACACTCCACAAATTTGCTGCAATGTTGAGCTTATGCTACAGCAGTATGCATATATTGGCGGAACTGTTATTTTATTTTATTAATTAATAATAAAGAATAAAGAGAGTATTTAAAATACATAAAGTATATTGTTTGAATTGCATAATTCTTTTCCATTCAGTGCAGACAATCTTAATGATGCATAAGAACAATCAGACCACCTGTTGATTCAACAGATTTATGAACATAAAAGCCTCTCAGTGTCATAGTCCAAGACATGAAGCTGCTACAGGACAGAACATGTCCTCGTGCTCCACTTTGAACTCTGTTTCTTTCTTCAGTGTTAATGCTCGTACAAATTCATCTCAGTCCTCTCCATGCTACTGTTTTTCCTCCACCCAGAGCTGGGATAACCTCTGTTAACCTTTATAGTCCTTGCTGGTACCACATGGGAGTGACTAAACTGTAAAACAAAAGTAAGAGGCTTGTAGAATTGTCAGTTGTTAAAAAAAATTAATTTGCATATAAAGCATGACATGAGGCAAAAACACAAATGAGTCCAATAAATCTGTGTAAAATGTCNACTTCAACACTGCATACACACGGCTCAGGGAGGCTTCAATGGCCAGATTCTCATTTACATCCATGCCAATGACTTTGGTTGCACCGGAGTTAAGCTTGGCATCAGCAATAACCTTGGAAGTGGAGCGCAGGCCATCACTATTCAGGTAGAGATTTGCCTCATTATCCAGGACTCCCAAAACTATATAGTCTTCAAACACGCTGCCATCCATGTTTCCTTTGATGGATGACTCCATGGAAACATAGTCAAAGGTTCCTTCCATCTTCAGACTGTGATCTGCGTCGGCCTTTCCAACAGCCTTGATCATAGGGATGTTTAAATTACCCGTCACCCTGAAGGTGGAGACAGCATTTGCTTTGGTTTTAGTGTCTGCAACCAGATTTTGGTTTGCTTCCAGGTTGAGTATCGGCAGGGCGATCTTTGCAACAGTAGCCACAGAGATGGCACTGTCGAAAGTCTCAGTGCTCACGCTGACGGTGCTGTCATGAGTGCCTTCAATGTGAGGATTTTCGAGGGACAGGGAATTGGCCAGTTTGATTCCTCTCTTGGTGGTCAGACTGGTGGTGCCATCAAGTTTGGCTTTTAGACTGTCAAACACAGAGGCAGTGGTGGCTCCAAGACGGAACACAAGATCATCCTCAGCATACATTCCAGCATTGGCATTCAGATTAATGATGGCAGACTTGAAAGACAGCTCTGTAATCAGGTTGCCCATAGGGGGAATCAGACCAGTATTCTTGGCAAGGGTGTCAGCTTGGCTTTTTTGGTAAACAATCTTAACATCTGCATCAACACTCTGCTCAGGGGTCGTCAAAACGTATTTTAGCCCAGTTTGCTCATACAAGTTGAGGTTACTAATGGCTGGGGTCTGGAAGTCAACAAAAGGCAGCTCTATCTCAGGAATGCTAATGGGCCTAGTCAGGAAATCAAGATTTGCTTTCCCCTCCACGGCAGCAAGAAGAGCAGCTTCCTTGTCATTATGCTCTACAGTGAAGTTCCACAACAGCTTGTACTGATTAAGACGGGCCAGAGCCACAGTGTTAATGTGTTGATTGTCAGGCCTTAAGTTCGCTGAGTAGTCATTCTGCAGATCAATTTTGGCAGTAAGAGCATCATTAAAACTGACCCTTGTGTTTCCCTTATTTTGAAAGCTAAACACAACCTCTGTGGGACAGACAACAACGTAAATCACATTGTTTAAGGCACCACTGACAATACCAACTAGATCTGTACTATGTGTGGCCTTATACTCAAGCTTTCTGTCAGGAAAATTGACATTTACTGATCCCTCTATAAGACTCTTTCTGATTGCGGGGCCTTCTGCTTCAGAGCGAACATCAAACTTGAAATTGCTGAACATGGCAAAATCAGCACTCAGGGTCTGTGTCATCTTTAGAAGCACTGCATCTGTGTCACCTGTCAAAGTCACCTTGACTGTATCTGGACTGGCAATGACTTGTAAGTCACTCTTGTGGGTAAGCTGATGAGAATTGTATGTATTAGTGCCTTGATTTTCAACAGTAAATGTAACAGAGGTACCTTCTTGGCGTGCCACAGATTTTTGAGTAGCAGAGGCATCACTTGTGAGGCCAGGAAGGATGAGTGTATGTTTATAGGAGGTGTCAGCAGAGGCAGACAAACCACCTCTGGTGGCTAAGAAAGCTTCATTTAAAAGCTCAGCACTGTAGGGTGCTGTGGTAGCCTTTACTGTGGTCTTGGCTGAGGCCTGGGCTGAGAAGTCAGAAAATGTTACAGATGCTTGGTGGTCCACTGCAAGGAAAACATGAGTGAACTTCAGGGTCTCACGAGCACTCACATCATGCTCCTTGGGAATAGCAATCCGAGCATTGGAATCCAGATTGTAGTTAAGGATTTCAAATGTTGGAGATTTGCCTTGGGAAGTCAGAAAAGCTGTCAACTGTGGGTTCTCATCTACATCAAGGGAGCTCTGGATTTCTGCAGTATTCCTAATGGTGTAGATGGGGATGTTCATCTTTATCTCATAGCTCAGTTTACCAAATGCTGGAATCATAATCCCACTGGGGATTACTGGCAGCTTAATTGTTGGCATTTCTAGAGGAAAGTTCACAAGTTTGTCTGCTGGAAAATGAGGAAGTGTGGGAAAAGAGAACTCAGGTACAGTAATCTCAGGAAGTGACAACTCAGGCAGAGTGGGAAGGTAGCTTAAAGTCAGGTGTCCATATGAAGCACCAATATTAAACATCTCCAGCTCAAAGTTGAGAATTAAATCAATGAAGTCAATGATTCTCTGTTTAATGTCATTGGCTGATAGGACAGTGGCTGGCACAGTGTGAAAACCCAGGATAGTAAACTCAGGAATGTCCAGCTGTGATGGGATTTCAAACTGGTGAAGCTTGTTTATGTTGACTTTCATGGAAGGCACAACAAGATCGGTGAGAGGAACTGTGAAGGCTGGTATGCTCAGCTCTGATTCCATCAGTCCACTAACAAGCCCATTGATGATCTGCAGTACTTCCTTGATGATTTTTTGATCAAATGAGATCGTCTTAATGATCTCAACTGTACTGTTGAGAATACGAGAGACAAAAGCTCTGAATTCTGCATAGCGTTGGCTTGCCCACTGGATGGAAGTGTTGATTTTAGCATTCACATCCAGTTGCACAATTTTCTCCTTAATAATTTCAGCAAATTGCTTGAGATTATTAAACACAACCTTGTCAATGGTACCTGTTGCAGTTTTAATAAATTCTGCAATATCAACTCCTCTCAGTTGGTCTACAGAATCCCGAACAGAGGATACGACAAAGTTGGCAAAATCTCTCAATGCCTTGAGTTTCTGGGGGATTTCAAGAGATCTGATCAGGTCATTTACATTTGCAGTGTACTTTGCAATGATTTGATTGATGTGATCTACAAAGTCATTGTAATCAAATGACCTAATTTTCTCCTCAATAATGTCAATATATGTGTTCAGCTTGGAAATTATGTCCTTAATCTCCATTGCTTTCAAATAGTTAATAACATCCTGGAATACCTGCATGAATTTGGAAGGAATATCTGCATCTTTCACCATTCTGACTCCAGCACTGATGGTTTCCTCAATCCTGTACTGTTTAATGAGCTCCACAGCTTTTTCCAAGACAGCCTGAACCTTTTTGTCAACCTCAAACTTTACAATCAACTCCTTCATCCTGGCAAAGAATGCGTTGATGTTACCAGCAATGTCGAGGTTCTGAATGATTTCCAGAGTATTGTCTATGACATCACTGAGAATCTTTGGGGGAGCCTGATTCACAAGTACATCAATGCAATACTTCATCACATCTGAAACGAACCTCCTACACTCAGCAGCAAATTTCGCCAGGTCAAACCTCTCAACTGTCTGTCTAATACCCCTCATACCTTCCTCTAGACTATCCTTGATTCCATACTTGGCATCAATATCATACAGGAATGCAATACTGCTGCCCTTCACTTTGTTCAGGTCAATCTGATGGACAAACTCTCTTATGGTCTCAATCACATACACAAGCATACCCTTGATGTCATACTCCTCATTAATGGCATTCAGCAAGTTTTGGATCTGCTGAGCAAAGACCTCTGGGAAGTTGGCACTAACAAAAGTCTCCTTTATCAGACTAACAAAGTTCTGGATGTAAACAGTGAGATCAGCCAGAATTTTCTGAACAGCAATCTTCAAGTTTCTCAAAGAGGCTTCTACATCTTCCATGGAGATGGCATAGTTCTGGGTAAAATCTAGGAAATACTGTTTCAGCTGAACTGCCTTGTCTTCAATATTCATTTGAGCAACAAAGTCACTTATCTGCTCGGGAAGAGCCTCAAGTTTAGCCCTGACCTCGTCATTGTTGATGTAGTCTTGCAGTGCCTCCGCAACATGTACAGCAAGCACCTTAATCCTGTCCATAAAAACAGCAAAACTTTCAAATATGGGAATATAAATCATGTGACTATTTGTGCTCTTGTCATACTTTAAGAAGCCAGAGATGGTGAATTCCTGGTTATCTGCAGAGACTGAGTTGATGATGTTTGTAAGGATGGTGCCTGAAGCCTCGATTCCAGTTCTCTCAGCAGTGTTGTAAATACTTAAGTCTTGATTAAAGGCATGCTCATTCAGTTTGGACTTCATTCTAAAACTAGTCCTCTGCTCTTGGAGTGACAGCACATTGTCCATGTTGTTGTCAAATGTGGTCTGAAGGGACAAACCATTATTCAGCTGCTGGTTCACTGATGCTCTGCATTCATGTGAGCTGGCAAAAGCCAGAGGTTGTGCTTTCACAAGGAGCTTGCCATAGAGCTGGGCACTGTGCTTTCCATACATGGTCACGTCTCCATCAGCATTGAAGATGGCGTCTAGGTTGAAATCGAAAGGAACAATGCTGCAACGGATGGTGTGGTCAAAGCGCACTGGCTGTGAGTTGAAGCGGGCATCATTGCTGAACCTGGCAGCCAGGCCGATAACTTCGAGTTCAGTGTTGTGGCTCATATGAGTTCCAAAGAGTTTTCCAGTGGTGCTGCACTTTGCATTGGCGATCATATCAGCATAACTGACCTGATAGATGTGCTTGATCTCTTCTTCACCATAGATGGCCTTCAGGCTTCCGGTCAGGTCCATCTTGTAAAGCTCAGCTTGCAGTTGTGCCTCATTAATGAATTCAGCTTCCAGAAGTTTGAGGTTATTCTTAACATTTGCAGAGGCAGTGTACGGTTTCAGGTCAAAGGTGATATCATGAGTGTAAGAGGCATATTCACTTGCAGTGGCTTCAGCCTTTGAGTTAAAGTCAAGGCTAGACCGAGTAATGGTCAGAGTGTTGGCATTATCAACCTTCATTTCTCTGATTGCTGCCTTGTTGGTAATGGACAGAGAAGCCCTTGTAGAATCAAGCCCAGCATCAAAGGTGTTTTCGAAGGACAGGGGGCTCTGGAGGGTAGTTGTTCCACTTGTGGTCAAACCATCCTTGTTCATTTTCAGAGAAGCCTTGTGAGTAGCCTCATTCTCAAGAAGCTTGATGTTGGCGTCGCTGTTGACAACCAGACCATTGACATCAAGAGAAGCAGTCAGCAGAGAGTAAACACGGTTGTCAGAGTGGTCTGCATTTGTTTCCATCTTCATGGCCACATTACCGGCACCAGCAGATGCTTCAGCCTGGTTACGGATCTTCATACCAAAAGCAAAGGCATTTGCATCACATTTCAGTGACAGCTTGCTGTCTTTGAAGGAAAGGTCAGCAACATGAGTGAAAGTGTCTTCAAAGGCATTAGTGTTAGACACAACTGAGAGTTCGCCATTGAGAAGTGTTGCAGCGATTGTGTTCTGGGCCTTAGCAAAGGTGGAGTCTAACTGAACATTAGAATCAATCTTTGCTTCTGGTCTGAATGGGAAGATGTTGAATGACTGGGTTGAGGTGGTCTTGCCATAGATAGGTCCAGCTGCAAACATCCCCTCAAACTTGTTGTCAGCAGACATTTCTTCAGTGTTGATTCCAACCATGCCTTCGTGCTCAAAGACAACATTGAGACCAAATGGGCTTTTGGCTTCCATCTTGCTGCTAGATTTCAAGTTGATTTTATCTGTGATGGTTGCATCCTCGACAATACTAAAACTGGCATCAATGAATTTATGGGCCAAAGAGCTTTTCAGCTGCGCTTTGATGGAGTCAGTGGTGGCCAACATCCCAGAGCCTAAACATGAAAAAGAAAGGGTAAACAACATTTATGACCAATACCTTTATATGACCTTTATCCTTATAGTGTGGCTCCTTTACAGCAAACCTTTGAAATTGATTGGCTTGTAACCATATACCTGTATACAGCAGAAATATACCAATAAGTCAGTATGGTTTAGTCTTAGAAATTACCTTAACATTGTACCTGAAATTAAGTCACATTGTTTCACGAGCAACAGTTGAAATTGTGATTGAAAACTGTACCACCAAGAGACCAACACATGGTGTTAACTATGTGTTAATAATTATGATGTTACAAAAAATCAGCTTATTAATGATTTTCACTGTGACTTACCTTCCATCTTCATTGAGAGGATCTCAATTGGGGAGGTTCCTGTCACATCAAACTTAGCTGAGTAGCTTGGTGTTTCCACAACATCTTTGCCGGCAGCCATTGAAGCCTTCATGTCATAGATGTTGCTCTTCATCATGGTTGAAACCTCAGCTTTTCCAAAGAGAGGAATGGACAGAGTGAAGCTCTCGGGAACAGTAAGCTCTGGGATGGGAATTTCCATGGAGACGACTTCCAGTCCAAACCGGGGTAGAGACACGCTGGGAGTGGTCAAAGCTGGTGGGAATTTAAGATCTTCTGTTGTCTTTCCTCCAAGTGGGAGAGGGATAGTAATTGTGAAGCGGTCATTGTTGAAGTAGTAGACACCTTTGGCCTCACTGTGAAAAAGACAAAAGAATATACATACATGAGTTGGGTAAAAGTTAAGATAACTGTAATATTTACCATCGAAATCTTTACACTTACGCATTCAGGAACAGTGTCTCTGGGAAGGAAATCTCAGGCATGTCAGGCACTCTGAAGTTCTGAATGTAAGGATAATCAGCACCATACTTCTCCATGTAGTTGTTTGCTGCCTAAAAAACAGAAAAGTTGTGTTTTATGCAGAGTTCACTTTTTCTTTTTTAAACCAAAGAAAATCTCAAAAACTGAACAAAGATTTATACCTCCACAAATTTCTTGAAGATGTGGCGGACTTTCATATCTGTCTGGCCCACTTGCACGTCAAGAAAATCGTTGCCGTATTTCTCGACAAATTCAGTGTAAGGCAGGATGTTGGTTTTGGTGTTCATGTCAGACTTGACCTCGACCTCAATCTTGCTGCCGTCTGAAACAACAGAGGAAAGTAAAGTGAATGCAAAGACATGAGGAAATGTTCCTCTAAACCTCGGGTTGGATATGAACCAGGAGTAAATCTATTCTACACAGAATTAAATTCAGCATTTTTGCTCAGAAAACATAGCAGGTTTATTAGCTGCATTGTGCCCTGCACATGGCTAGCTTTCATTCTGTCTTGCCAACTGTCCCATCAGACCGAATTGACATTAAATGGTCAACAATGCCATGTGACTGGGCCTCATATTTTTAGGCACCAAATGTAAACCAAAATTTTCGCGATATGTTTCTGTATTTAGCATGTGGCACAAATTTATCGGGGCCTGTCTATAAAATAAATAACAATTAAATGAACTACTATGGAACATTTTGGAAAAGGGCATTACCGTATTTCATGTCAATTTTCTGCTCAGAGGTGGCATCCATGATCTTGCTTTCAAACTTAAGCTCCAGTTCCAACTCCTGATCACGTTTCATGTTAGCGGTGACAGTGGCATCAGCACTGATTGAGGGGACCAGAAGCTGGACTTGCAGCATACCTTCCTTCATGGCCTTCAGACTGAAACATGAACCAGTTAGTAAACTTACCACGTCACAGACGGGTGACAATAGTGCTATTTAAGATTTTTAGTTCCTTTCTTACTTGGCGCGGCCAACCAGGGAGAGCTGAGGGATGTTCTTGTTGACGAAGTCGAGAGAGATGGAGTGAGTTCCTTTGCCCTTGGTGTTTCCATCAACAACACCCAACCTAAGACCGGCCTCTACATCGTAGTCAGGGATCTGGATGTCGGCTGTGATGGCATTTATCCATCTGTTGTACTTCATGACTGCTCTGGCTTCAGTGGGATCTGCACCTGTTGTTGACCAACCAAAAGAGTAATGTTTAATGACTCTTATAAAATTGCTTGAAATTGAGGCTGTCATTGTACGAGAAAAAAAATGTCAATATTGGACATTACCCTCCGCCCTCAGAATGAAGTTCACAGAGTCAACCTTCTGCTGGCCATCATCTCCCTCCATGAGGAGCTCGTAGGCAACAGTGGCTGTGTATTCAGTGACTTCACCGGTAGGATGGAGCTCCACAGCAAATCTATTAAGTTAATTTGATAGTATTAATAAGGTCAATATCTCATTTTGAGAGACAGTTATTTGCTGGTGGTTCAGAGAGTCTTGCTCACTTGCTGTCTCCGGTGAAGGGGAAGTACGGGGCCGTCTCCTGAGAGAAAGCATCAGTGTACTGTAGCTCAGAGCAGTATTTCATTCCAGCGAAGACTGGAGTGCACTCACGGACATCAACCTTGTCCATCACCATAGGAGGGATGGTCTTCATTTCTGATCCAGTCACTGCCACAAGGTTGTTTCTATATTGTAAATGTACCAAGGGGGGAAAAAAATGCAGCTTAGACCATTTTTAAAAAGAAGAAAAGTTAAAGTGAGAATAAAACGTACTTAAGCTACACATGCTAGCTTTCCTTGCCATTCATTCAAGCTGAGGGAGTGATTGCATTACAACCAGCAGTGCAAAGTAGCTTCTGTCAGTTTCTTTCTTTACATTTAATTTTGAGACATTTATGTAAGGTCTTAAAGATATACTTTGGCTTACGTCACTGTCATGAGCTTAGTTGGGCCACCTGGAGCAGGGATGGCCAGTTTCAATTTGCCATTTTCTGTGGACAACTTGGCTTTAAGGCCACTCTCATGGAAAAGGCTGGTGTACATCTCTAGTCCAGTGTTGGAAAATTCAGGGATGTGGGAGCCAATCTTAGTCACAAACTCAATGTCAGCAGAGGGCATGAAGGTCACTTCGCTCTGCGTGGAAACACAAGAGAAAGATAGACAGTTAGGTTGATGCATCCAAAAAAAAGAAAACATTGTAGGGGCCATTTATTCACATTTCTGAATAATTACCATGTCACGAGCAATCTTAATTCCACCCTTGATACCAGGGGCGAAAGTACCAGACAGTGAAACCCTCAGAGGCACACCAGTGACAGTGGGCAGGAAGAACTCATTGTCCATGAAGATGTAGTGGGCAAAGAAAGTGTTGTCAGCCTTAGTCATCAGCGCCTTCAGCAGCTGCAGAGAATAAACATGACATTTCAGTTATAAGCAAGGACTAGATGAGTGCACTTTTTCCTTTTCAAAAACAACTTTTCCTTACATCAGCTGGGAACATCTTGAGCATGCTGTCGATCATCATGGCAGCAGAATAGGCCATCTCCTCCATTTCATTGGTCCTCAGATAACCCAGCTCATTTCCCAAAAGTCTCAGATAAACCATGGCCTCTGGAGACTGTACAGACTTCAGTTCCCTCACCAGTTTGTTGAGGTTGCGTCCGATTTCCCTCATCAGGTTCTGGGAGGCCTAAATATGGATGTGCACAATCTTTTTAAAATGTTTCCCTTGTGGAGAAATTGATCATCATACAGGTAGATACATTTGCTCTTAGTCTGTTTAAGCAGAGCTGAATACCTGTTTCTTTCTCAGAGAAGGAATCAGGTCCCTCAGGATCGCATTGACTTTCTGGGGCATGTTGTCAGAGACGAAGTACATCGTCTTCAGGGCGGTGTCAGGGAAGAATCCATTCTCTCCGAACAGAGCATCAACTGTTGGCTCAAATCCTTTGCCCTCCATGCCGATCTGCAAACGTGATAACATTTAGTTAACTCACTGAAAAATTGCCTCACTGCAGAACTTATATAAAATATCTCCCGATGTTTACCTCCATCATGTCAACATCAAAGCCAAATGCCTTCAGAGTCATTTCAAGCATGACCTCCTTGGGCAGGTAGCTGGTGTCCTCAAAGATCATGTTGCCCTCCAGAGATCCGATCTTATAGTTGCGAGAGAACTTGGTGGGGTCCATAGTGGGCCCGATCTCATTACCCTGCAGGGCATCACGAATCTTCTGTCTCAGTCTGTAGGAAAAAAACAAAAAAACACTTAAACTACTGGTGGAGATTAAATCAGGATACATGTGCACCGTTTAGCAGCACTTACTCCTGGGTCTCAGGCACGCTTGAGGACAAAATGTTGGTCATGTGGGAGATGACAAAGCTCTTGACTTGTTGGTCCTGCTCATTGGGCAAGGCATTAGCCAGCTGGGTCAGTTCACTTGGCTGGGGGTCCTTCATGAGTACCAGATATGCAGCAATACGCTTTTGCATGGGGNAATAGAATAGAATGCTTTTTATTGTCATCATACACAAGGTACAACGAAATTAAAACGATGATGTTCCTGAGGTGTGCTTGAGATGAGCAGGAGCTGAATATGAGTCTGAGCAGGAATCAAAAAAAAGTTTCTTCTTTGTGTTTATTTCAAGATTAAATTAGATCAGATTGCAGTTTATTTTTCACCACCAGTGGGGAAAGGCACTTGTTGCAGCAGCACAGATAAAGGAAAGAGCACAAAAAAGTGACAGGAAGAAAAAGAGAACAGATTAACTATTAATAGGAAGAGCTGAGAAATACAATACAGTAGAGCTGTACACACACTATATACGCTATAGATCCATATAATGGAGATAAATACAATAAACATGGTACAATAGGATGTTGCACATGAGGGAGATATATTGCACATAGCAAGGGGTATACTGAGAAAACCTGGGTATAATATTGTCTATTATACAAAGATGCAGTGTGGAGAGAAGAACTCCAGCATGTTGTTATAGATTCTGACAGCGGTCTAGGACCTGCCGTAGCGCTGCTTCTTCCACCGTGGCTGGATCCGTCTGCTGCTGAAGGAGCTGCTCAGAGACCCCACAGTGTGGTGCAGCGGGTGAGAGGTGTTGTCCACGGTGGACGTCAGCTTGGCCAGCATCCTCCTCTCACCCACCTCCTCT